GCCCTACGCAAAGCAAGCAGCAGCCAGGCACGCTGCAGAGATACGAGGCTTCGCCTCTGCCAGGCTGACTTACCGACTCCCTGGAGAAACGGCATCTCGCAGGTGGCTGGTGACAGTCGGAGCTGGGTGCACACAGGGGCTTCGCTGCCGTTGCCTCTTCGGGACTGGAGAGCTGCCCCCTCAAACCGCTGGGTCAGCTAGTAGGGTTTTAGCAATTAAACAAAATTACTGCCAACAGCTCGGAGTTACAAAAAAAAATCTGGAGGTGCCCCAGGTCTATATTGCAGAGGGCTGGTTATTTATAATGAAAGGGAAACTGAATTCCCCTTTGCAGCATCTTCCTATTTTGATCTTTAGAGTCATGGTTCCCCCTGACTGCTGGTTTTGTAGAGCAGCCCCCAAGCCCCCATAAACGCAGCCTGGTGCTCCTGGGAGCCAGAGAAACCCCTCAGCAGCCGCACAGCTGGTTTGCTCACCTGGCCAGGCTTACACTGACACGTTTGGGGCAGGCTGGCTCAGGCTGCCGGAGAGGTCTCCTTTCTCCAGCCGTAGAAGTTCCCATCTGCCTATTGCTAAGGTGCCTTAGACTGGCCATGCTCTTGATCTCCCCCCTGCTACACTTGGGGTATGGTGCTTTTCCTGAATCTTTCAGTCTTTCCTATTAAAAAGCTCAGCAACTGGGAAGCTGCGTGCACTATGTTGGTGCCAAAAGCACAGTTTATTGATCCAGAAAAAGATTCCAGCACAGTGAAGATGGAGAAGGAGTGAGGCATACTGGGATCCGATCCTTGGGACAAGATGCAGTGGATCCCAGGAACTCGCAGCCCACATGCAACTGTGGGGATCCCCTCCTAACCCGAAGGGAACCGCACGCACGGGGAGGAGAGCCGCTGTGGATAGGAAAGCTCTGAGCTGTTGAGACTTTCACCAGAGCAGTCTGAGCTGATGGCAGAGACATGACATGGGCCACACTGTTCTGCGAGAGCACCCTGAGGAGTCTGCAAGTCCTTTGGAAGCCAGGCAGGCTCTCGTGGGAAGCACGGGAGCAGGACACATACAGCACGGAGGCAAGCCGTGGAAGGGGGTTAGCACAAAATGCATGCTGCCAAGTAAATAGATGCGTCTGCCTCTGATTTGCATGTTTATCTTAGAAGCAATTTAGGTTTCTCCTTGTTTATAAGAGTCGAAGTCAGCAGACTCTTAGAACAAGAAAAACAACTGGGAGCCAACATGTGACAGTTGTCTCCTGTTCCCCCAATGCATCAGAGCGTCCGGCGCTCCCGGGCTGTTCAGAGAGAGCTCGCTTCAGCTGCATCGGTGGATGTACCTGTGCAGCAGGTTACTTGCAGAGAAGAGAAAGGCTAGCAGGGAGCGAGGAGCGCTTTACCTCCTTTACCTCACAGGCTCTGAATTCAAGCACTTGCCTTTGTAACGTGAGGTCTCTGGTCTCTGCTGCTGCTGCACAAGTTGCTCCTTGCAGGGAACAGGGAAGGGAAGGCGGGAGGTGGAGGTCCAGTGCCACGCATGGTAGCAGAGCGTTTCCCGCAGCGCTGCGGCTCACACCCACCTCCTGGCAGCTGAACTCAAGGAGCAAATGGGAAGTACGGCAAGCTTGTGATTGCACGCTGATTTGCAAAAAGTAAATGATGCAGCATCACGCAGCCAAAGGCCCTCAGAGGGATTGGTGCCAGCCCCTCTGCCTGAGCTGAGCAAACAGCTCTGCCCCTAGCAAGAGGGCAATGCAAGGGCTTTACAGACGCTACGTGAGGACCTTGCAGGAGGCAGCATCCCATGGAACCCCATTTGACAGGGTGAGGGATCGTTATCCCCACATGCACTTAATTATTAACTCCCTCCCTCCCTCCCAGCTCCTCCTTGCTGCAGGCTGCCTGGCTCTCACAGGCTGCTCCTGCTTCTCTCCTTCTGACCATGTGGAAGTCCAGGCCCGAGCAGCCTTCAGCATCAGGAGCAGTTCCCTCTCACAGACTTTTCTGAACTCAGGGCTTGGGGTTTTTTTTCTGCTGTAAAAATGCAGATTCCCCAAGAGTACAGCATTTCACAGAAATTTGCCGCTTCCAGCACAACTTCATTTTTTAAAAATGAAGTTCTGATAAGGCAGCTAGGGACTTCTCAGAACATCCATTGTCGTTCCTATTTCAGTGTTTTTAAAATGTCATAGATTTTTAGAAATAAAATCGGAAGGGATGCTTTAATCAATCCAAAACAAATGTTTGGGTTTTTTTCCCTTCCAAAATTCTGCTTGGCAGAATTTTCTGATGTTCCTCGTCTCGCTCCATTTCAGAGTAACTGAACCCAACTGGAGCATTTCTCACGAAATGGAAGATCTCGGTCTTGCCGAGATAACCGCAGCCTTTCCAAGACACGCGAGGAATTTTCCCCCTTGTTGTGCCATGCCGCTTTCCAACACCACAGCAATCATGGGACAGATTTCGGTACATAATCTGCAATGGAGGCTTGTAGGTACCACAGCAAATACGCTGCTTGTTTGCAGCTACAAGCAGAGGGAGATGCAGCCACCGACCCCGGCGGGGGTCTGGGACCCTGCAGGGTGAGGTGCTCCCTTGGCGGTCGGTGCCCTTCGCCCTGCTCTCCTTCCACTTTCTCCTGCTGATAATGTTTGCTCTGATCTGGGTGTTTGGCAGGAGAATTAACGAGACGTAATTAGCTCACAGTGTGAAAAAGGGAGTGCCTGGTGTTTATCTTGTCTGGAGGGTTTTCCTTGATCTCAGTCTCCCAGGGGATGGTGTTAGTCAGTGCTTTATCTGCCGGCTCTCCCATAGTGGAGGCAGCTCCTCTGCCAGCTGCCAGCGTGTCTCCCCAAAGCCAGCCCTGCTTACAGCCCACCGCCATTACCAAAGACCAGTGCCACAGCTCAGCAGCGCTGGAGGCGGACAGGGGATGGGGTCCCCACAAGGTCCCTGGTGAGGTGGCCCATCAAAGAACATTTTACCTTTTCCAACTTTCCCAGCATCTCTTTCCTCCAGTGAAGTGGAGCTTTGGCTACTGCTGCAACCTCCATCCTGCCACACCGCTACCTCCCAGCAGCCTCGTCCCAGCTCTTGGCAGTGCAGGCAGGGACACGTCAGCATCCCCATCCTTGCTGGGACCAGGCAGGCTGGGCAGAATGAATTCAGGGCCAGGGTACCTGGCCACGCTTCCCCATGGGATCTCTGCAGCCCCACTTGAGACCACTGGCCTGTACCATCATCCAGCTGGTGGGATGCTCCTCACCCTGCTCACTGCAGGAAGGAACCGGCCGCTCTCGCAGCCCAGCACAAGCGAGGCAATTAAACACCTGCAGTCGGCATTGCTCAATGAGCTCCTGTTGGCTTTTCTTTCCTAAACGGCTTCTACCATCGCCCTTGTCCCCCTGCTGCAGGATGAAAGGCTGACAAGCAAGCTTGTGAAAGTAACGCTCGCTGGCCCTCAGAGTTGGGGCTTGCAAAGCCATGGAGAGCTGGGTTTATTATGCTCAGCTCCAGCCTGAGATGACCTTGTGCTTCTGCCAGCATTTAAACAAAGTATTTTAAAAGAGGGAACAGATCCCATTGCTTTCCGTGCTCGCAGGGCTTTCCTGAGCCTGTGAGCTCTCTCTAGGGCTGATAGAAGTGATAGAACATGGATAGAGAGAGACAATGAAATATTTCCCAAGCTTACTGCTTTTTATTATTATTAAAGGGAGCTTCTTACTTCCAGTCTGGGGGGGTTGAAAAATTTGAATCCCACCCAAACCTCATCCCTTCCAGCCAGAATCACAGCTCCATGCTCTGTGGCAAACAACATACTCCGGCACAAGCAGCCGCTGCCTGGCTGGGGCGAGCGGCCGGCGCAGGCAGGGGCTGACCCCAGGATGGAAAATTCCATGTTGCTGCCATTGTCCGGGCTGGTGCGAGGCGTGGGGAAGGCTGCGGGGCAGAGCTCGGGGTCCCTCCCCCATGTCCATGGAAAGCTGCCTGCAGGGCTCAGCCAGGCTCTACCAGATTGTTGTTTGCGCATTATCTTTCTGCTCCGAGCTCCCATCCTCTCCCCACTGCTGCAGGGAGGGGACCGGGGTGCAGGCAGGGTACAGTTAGGACAGGAGACACAGGGTAGTTCTCCCAGTTATCCAGCTTCAGGGCACGATCATAAAAGTTCACCAGTGCAAGAGAGACACAGAGAGGGCTAGATAGCTGGGGGATAACAGTGTGAATGAGGACTGCAGCAACAAGAGGTGAAGCCTGCTCCTCTTTCTCCCCCACCTGAGCATGACGTGGGTGCCTGTGCCACGGATCTTTGTCCCCACAGTGTGCCCCAGCCAGTGTGCAGGCAGGAGGCATTGCAGAGCCTGCACCAGCACCAGCCACGCTGGTCTCAGCTGGGCTCCATCCTGCTGTGCTCAGCAGGGCCGAGCTGCAGAGTGGGGCTGGGATGTAGGGAAGAGGGTGGGAGGGAGGTTTTGCACATCAGCAAGTTCCTCCGCTGCCACCCCAGGAGCTCCCAGAGCAGCCCAGGCTCTCAGGGCTGCGGGCCCCACAACTTGCAGCGCCCATATCTGGCTGTCTCCTAGGGAAGATGGGCTCTGCAGGCTTCCCTGCTCCCTGTCACAGTGATGCATGCACGGAGCAGAGCTTCCCCCTGCCCCGGGCTGGTGCAGCTTGGGATTATATTGTTAGACACAAAGACAAAAGCCCAGCGGCTGTGATGGCTCAGCAGTGCCCTGTCCCTGTGTCCTGCCTGTCTGAACCACAGTGAGAGGCATGCTCTGTGGCTCCCCCAGCTCACCCACGTGGAGGGGATGCTGCAAGGAGGGCATGCCACTGTGGGGGGACACCCTCAGCAGAGCACAGAGCAGCTGTGACACAGCTAGAAAGAAAAGAGGGAAAGGTAGGCTTCAATATAAGAACCCCCCGAGCAGGGTGAGGACCCGGGGAGCCAGAGCCCCACACCTTCCCCCTCTACAGGCAGCGCAGTAATGCAGCACCGTTCTCTCTCGCAGGTACATCGGGGCGCTGGGCGCGAGGGTGATCTGTGATAACATCCCCGGGCTGGTGAACAAGCAGCGGCAGCTGTGCCAGAGGTACCCCGACATCATGCAGTCGGTCGGGGAGGGAGCCAAGGAGTGGATCCGGGAGTGCCAGCACCAGTTCCGCCACCACCGCTGGAACTGCAGCACCCTGGACCGGGACCACACCGTCTTCGGCCGGGTCATGCTGCGAAGTAGGTTCTGCCCCATCCCCTTCCCACCGCTGTGTGCCTTGTCTCCCTGGGAGAGTCTCTCCTCTTGCTGGGATGCTGTGCCCAGTGGCTTAGATTACTCCCTTAGGAGAGCTTTGCCTTTCCCTGTAAATTAATCAAGCAGTAATGGGAACAGAGCACTGCGTTTGGAATAGCTGCACCAGATGAGATGGAGCAGGGGGAGCACTGGGGGAGAAGGGGGAAGGAGGAGACACCTCCGGAGAACAGGCTCATATGTAAACAGTAATGGGATATATAAATATTTGGAGAGCAGGGTTGGCCAGGGCCGGGTCATGCTGCGAAGTAGGTTCTGCCCCATCCCCTTCCCACCGCTGTGTGCCTTGTCTCCCTGGGAGAGTCTCTCCTCTTGCTGGGATGCTGTGCCCAGTGGCTTAGATTACTCCCTTAGGAGAGCTTTGCCTTTCCCTGTAAATTAATCAAGCAGTAATGGGAACAGAGCACTGCGTTTGGAATAGCTGCACCAGATGAGATGGAGCAGGGGGAGCACTGGGGGAGAAGGGGGAAGGAGGAGACACCTCCGGAGAACAGGCTCATATGTAAACAGTAATGGGATATATAAATATTTGGAGAGCAGGGTTGGCCAGGACTCAGCAGTTCACGTGGGAACTGGCTGTTCCCTTGCATGGCAAGGGAGACAAGGCAGAGCCGCGGCTCCAGTCCTCGCTTCGGGCTCCAAGGTGGAGGGAGGACCACGGCTATGGGGCAGACACCAGCCCTGCACGGACGGCTGGGCACAGACCCTGCCCGGGAGGGACCTTCCCGCTCTAGGTGAGGGACGGATACGACACAAGCAGGGATGTACCCAAGGAGTGAAGAGGAAAGGCGCGATGGGGACAGGGACAGGGGCGGTTCCAGAGCAGGAGCAGCATCGTGGGCTCCAGCTGCCCCCGGGAGGGCTCCGGCAGCGAGCAGGCTCCGGGAGCTGGCGTGAGTCCCGGTGCAGGCAGCAGCGCTGCAGGACAGGTGCTGCTGCATGCCGTGACATGCCGGGGCGCATCCAGCCACGTGGCTTCCAAATTAAAGGCGGATGGGAAGAGCCTTTCCACTCGACAGGAGCGGCTCATATGGAGGACATGTGAGCGCCCGCGGAGGGAGCCGGGGAGCAGGGGGCTTGCTCCCAGCTGGCCGGGGGATGGGGCAGCTGCCCGGGGGGGCGGACAAGAAGCAGTGCCTGCAAGCCAGACCCCCGGAGAGGAGCTGGCTGGAGGGAAGGGGTCTGTAAAGCGCCGGGACGCAGCACTTACCCTGCCATGCTGCAGCTTGCCCAGTCTCAGCCTCTCCATCCCCTCAACGGCACCTTTACTCCCGCCCGCATCCTCTCCTGGCAAAGGACTGGGAATGATGAAAGCTCCTTGCCACAGCCCCATCCTGCGAGGCCCAAAGAGAGCTCTGCTCCCTTTGAAGTTGCTTTCAAAGGCTCTCAAAATGAAGACGAACATGGTTTTGATTTGCAGTTTCTTTTACAGCATTATAAAAACAGCTGCGAACTCGAACCAGAGACATAAAATAGCAGGCGGCACGCTGTTCCGTGCGGGGAAAGCCAAGCCCGGCCGGAGCTGCCGCCAGCTCCCGCCCTCAGCATCACCTCGGGAGGGAGGCAGTCCCAGCCGAAGGGTGCTGGCTGGTCCTGCAGGCTCAGCACCAATGGGCACCCTCATGGCCCCTGAGCCGCAGGTCAGCGAGGGGGACTGGTCAGGCAGCCCTGAGAGCAGCCCAGCCCCCCGAGCTGCTGAGCCCCGAGGCTCAACATGAAATTCCCCTTAGTCTGAAAGATGCCAGGGAAGCGGAGGCAGCAGAGATGGCTGGACTTGGCTTACCCGTGTGCAGGATGGTCTCGCCCCCAGCCACAAAGGTGCTGCTGCACAGTGCCCTGCTCCTTGGTGGGCTGCGGGCGCCCGGCACAGCCTGGCATACTCACTCCCTATCTCCGTTTCTCTTCCCCTGGCAGGCAGCAGGGAGGCCGCCTTCGTCTACGCCATCTCCTCGGCTGGAGTGGTCTATGCCATCACGCGGGCATGTAGCCAAGGGGACCTGAAGGCCTGCAGCTGCGACCCGCTCAAGAGGGGCCGCTCCAAGGATGAGCGCGGGGAGTTCGACTGGGGCGGCTGCAGTGACAACATCAACTACGGGATTCGGTTTGCCAAAGCCTTTGTAGATGCCAAGGAGAAGAAAGTGAAGGATGCCCGGGCGCTGATGAACCTGCACAACAACCGCTGCGGGAGGATGGTGAGTGCAGCCCCCGCAGCCAAGACCAGTGCCTGGCCAGCCGTCCCACCGGGACCCCCTGCAAGGGAATGGGCAGTGGGAGCAGCTTGGGCATAGGAGCAGGACCCTGGGTGGCCGTGGAGCACAGGTCCTGCTGCAGGTGGGGGCAGGACGCTGCCCTGCCTTCCCAGTGCCCCCCTGCACACTCTGCCCAGTGAGCAGCCCTGTGGGGATGGCAGGACGCTGCTTACCTTTGCCCCCAGCACGTGTCCTTGCCGATACTGGCATGGGAATACACAGCACCCCTCTCCCGGTAGGAGCCCCATCCCGCACAGGTGAGGGCTGATAAGCTGCACCAGGGACGAGCAGACCTGGGTGCGATGTCTGATGCCCAGGGTGACCGCTGGTCCTCATGGCATCCCTCTTCCCACAGGCTGTGAAGCGTTTCCTGAAGCTGGAGTGCAAATGCCACGGGGTCAGTGGCTCCTGCACACTAAGGACTTGTTGGCTGGCGATGTCAGATTTTCGGAAAACAGGAGATTATCTAAGGAAGAAATACAACGGGGCCATCCAGGTGACGATGAACCAGGATGGCACTGGCTTCACAGTGGCGAACAAGAACTTCAGGAAGCCCACGAAAACAGATCTGGTGTATTTTGAGAACTCACCTGATTACTGTGTGATGGACAAGTCAGCAGGTAAAAACTAAAGCTCCAGTCATTGCCTAAAACCAGCTTTTCCTCCCCTCCTGACAGGCCAGCAGCTCCCAACCAGTCCAGCCTGGCAGGGATGCTTTGGGATGCCAGCTCCCCCACTGAACCCCAGTCCCTGGTGGTGGGGTTGTGCCACGGGGGGTCACCCAGACCCTCAGTGGGTGTCGGTGCTCACTGGAGCACTGGGTCCCCACAGCACCTCACGCCTGTGCAGACAGGACTGGGTTTGTCCAAAATCTCCAGGCTTTACACCAAAGATCCAAACCCATTCAGGCCTCTTGTAATGAATGTAGCGCAGTGTTTCCTCAGAGCCTTTCTCCTGCAGAGCAAAGCTCCCTTAAAATAAGCAATAAAGAGCTCATTTCGTGTGGCAGGCTGCTGGCTGCTCCTCTGAACACAGCCTGAGGCTGGGACAAGAGCAGGGAAGGCGGCGTCAGGGCTGCTCGGCTCCTGCAGAGAAGATCAATGGTTTCCCAGCCTGTGGCATCCCCAGGTCGGGGCTTCGCAGTAGCCGTGCAGGCTCGGTGGGGAAGGCAGCACATGCTCCCGCTGCCCTTCAGTGAGCCCTTAGCCCGAGCAGAGGGGGCATTTCTAGCTTTGCCAGCTACAAAGCCCGGCTTGGCAGGCATACACTGCTCCAGGGCCCCCCCTGTGCACAGAAGGGCTACAGAGAGCCCGTGTCCCACCCCCGCTCTTGCACTCTGGGCAGCAGCGGGTGCAGGCTTCAGCAGTGGGTGTGGGGAAGTGGCCATGCAGAGGGTCACCAAAGCCGCGTCCCTGGCCAGGCTTGCTGCCCACGCTGCAACCCATGCCCTTAAAGCAAAGCAAGCACAGGCGCCGCAACCTCTTCCCTGCAGCCTGTGCCCAGCCTTTGGAGGCCACGCTGTGGAGCCACGCTGTGGCACGTGCTGTAACAGACACACTGAGATTTCACCGCTGCTAAGGCAGTCGTATCCCAGGTCTCCACTGCAGATGGTAGATACCCAATCTTACCGCTGCCAACAACTGGGGGGTGGAGGAAGCATTTGAACAAGACAGAGGAGGAACACCCTGACCCGCTCTCGCTTCCTTTTCCAGGCTCCCTGGGCACGGCCGGTCGCGTGTGCAACAAGATGTCCCGCGGGACGGACGGCTGCGAGGTCATGTGCTGCGGGCGGGGGTACGACACCACGCGCGTCACTCGTGTCACCAAGTGCGAGTGCAAGTTCCACTGGTGCTGCGCTGTGCGCTGCAAGGAGTGTGAGGACACTGTGGACGTGCACACGTGTAAAGCACCCAAACGGGCCGAGTGGTTGGACCAGACCTGAGGAGATGGGAGCACAGAGGGAAGAGTCCACTGCCACCCCCCCTTGCAATTTTTTTTAAAACCCTGTGCCCTGAGGGCCATGACATTCTGGGAGCTGTAGTTCAACTGCATGGCTTTTATTTAATTAATTCTGCAAAGCACTAAAGAAAGGACTACATTTCCCAGGAGGTACTGTGGACCCTTCTATTTGCTCAGCAAAACTAATCCCCTACCTAGGAGGAGTCCGCAATCCTTGCTTAAACTGTGAAACTGCTGTTGCCCATTGTTCTCTTTGCAAAGGGACGGTGCAACCGATACGGACTTGGAGGACAGATCGTTGGGATGCAATGGCTGAGGAAACCTGCACCTCCCCAGAGAATTTATGTTGCAGAAAAGTTTCACCAGCAAAAACCACTAGTTCAGAATAATCCACTCTTGCAAAAAGCATTCTTGCTTTTGTTTTTTTGCAAGGCCAGAGGGTGTTATGAATCCGTAAGACAGTTCCGTGATCCCCGTGTTTCCCTCAAGCGGACCCAGCACACCACCCCCAGCCGCACTGCTGACCCCGCTGAGCAAGAGCAACCTCTGCACGAGGCTTCTCCTCGTCTCCCCAGCGAAGGTGACAGGCGGAGCTGTAAATCGGAACTGAACCTGAGTGACTGCACAAAGACAAGGGCCACCCCTAAATGTTCGCAGACACAGAGGGCTAGAGAAAGCAAACAAAATCTGTGAACTTACTGGTAGGTTCTGAAGTCAACAGATACAACAGCATCTCTGTAAAACTCACTTGTACGTTGTGTATACTGCATATTATTTTAAGTCAAAATTCATTATAAACCTATATCAGAAAATGATGTTCTTTGCTTTTTGAATTCCTACACACCCAGCTGGGCACTTCCCCCAGAGCGGGAGTCAGCCCGCAGCACACAGCATTTCTTCTACCTGCTTGCCTGCAGCTCCCGCGGTCCTAAAGCACAGACCTCCCCCGCCCCGGGAGTTACCTGCTGTTTCCCACAAAGCGGAGCCATGGCATCCAGCGTGCAAAGCCCCAGCGGAATCCTTCATAAGCAGTAGCACGCTCCAGGACATCTAATGACATAGCACTGGGTCGAGCAGGAGATGCTAGATTAGCTTCCAAACCTTTCCCGGAAAAAAAAACCCAAACCAAACACCCGAAACTTAAAACTATCAACTGAAATTGAAGCTGATGAGAGGAGGGGCAGGCAGCTGCAGAGCTGCCAGTAGATATGTTACAGAGACCAACCCCTCTCTTCTCTAGAAATTTCCTCAATTCTTCTTTCCCCCAACTTGGGCAAGCAGTGATTACAAAGATGCTTTATTTAGTGTACAGATATTTTACAGAGTCTGGTCAAAAGGTACCAATCCACACAAACAGACTTAATGTACAAGTAAGACAGTGGAACCTGCAAAATAAATTGTAAAAAAAAAAAAATTTACCTTAATCATTGCAATTCCTGTGCACATGCTGAAGCTGATAGGGGTGCTTTTACACTTCCCTCCCAGAGCTCGGCTGCCCATTGCCCCGGGCAGGCTGTGCTTGCTCCCTGACCCAGGAAAAATGTTGTTAGTTTTCCTAATGTTGATCGTCGTCATGCTGATGGGTAGGTAAGGACATTTCACACACTCAAAGCAAGTTTTCATGAGAGTTATAAGCTTACATCAACAATGGGAAAAGACAAGTCAACAGTAACATTCACCTGTAAATACTTTTAACTGGGGTCTGCTTTCACACTGCTATTGCTGCTAGAGGGGCTGTCAAAGCTCTCCGAGGAGTCGGGGTTTTCTCCCAGCAGCAGCGAGATGTGTGGGCAGAGGGAGCTGAGCAGGCTACAACTGCAATGTCTGAAGGAAGGTCAAAGCAGCAGGATGGGATTAAGGCAAAGAAGATTATTCTGGTCCTAAAACACCCATCGGCTACTGCACGAAGAACATCTCTGAATGGGGATTTTACCCAATGGCCCTAGGAAATATTAGTTTAAGTGGTGAGAGAAAACCACTTTGAAAACCGCTTTGATGGGAACTGCTCAAAGAATTTAAAGAGTCTGCCATGGGCCAGATTAGAGCACCTTAATCTGTGCCAGACCACCAAGATTGCTCATACAGAAAAAGGACCTTCAGCAGAGCTGCTGCAGAGCCACGGACAAGCAAAAAGGTGACGTTTTAACAGAGCTCTTAAAAAAGTTACAGGAATCCCACCTCCCCGCTGCCTAACCCGTTTCTTACAGAATTAAACCATCTCCCTTTTGAATCCCGTACTGACAGCACGAGAGGGCTGAGCAGCACTTTTCACCCCCTCTGCTCTTGCAGAACTTGCACTCAAGCTGGTGTTTTACCTGGGAGGCTCCTGGGTCTCACCCCAGGCCCTTCGAAGCTCTCTGAATTTCAAGGAGAGGCAATTTCCCCAAAGATTTGCTCCGTCTTGGCTGTGCCGAGGAATGCTGACAGGTGAGCGGGAGGTCTGAGCCAGGCCAAAGGCATTTCAAGCCTGCCGTAGCACAGCGTTCGTCAGCATGCAGGCTAATCTACCAGGAAGAGCTCCCTCATTTATCTTCATTACTGCTCCACCTACCATCAATTTACGACAGACTTTAAAAAAATGCTGCCCCCTCGGCAATCAATCCAAGCCTCCCTCCCAGAGCAGGACACGCTCTGTGGGCTGGGAGGGACCCAGTGCCTGGGGACCTGGGGTCAGCCGTCAATAAACATTTCTTCCTCTCCAGACGACCCCTGGGAAGTGTCTTCCAGCAGAAATACTGCTCCGTAGCAAATCTGTAGGCCCACCTGATGAATGACACCTTAATCAATGGCTGCTGCCAAAATATGTCTTCCCTTTGAATGCAGATGTTGAACATTCTAAAACGAAGGAGAAAACTCCTGAGGCCAGGCTGTCTTGGGTTTGACTTCCCCCCTTCCCATACCATCACTGAGATACTAAAACTGGATGCCTTCAGCACTTTGTAGAATAACCGCAGCTGAGAAGGCAACCCTCCATAGTCCTGTTGGGTCCACTGCCACGATGGGACTCCCTGCCCGGCTGCCTTCCCCTGTCACAGCACAGCAGTAAATCAGAGGACTAAAAATTCTTGGAAGCAAGTACCAGTATTACAGAAGCACCTGGAGGAGCAGACATGGAGACAGCCTGACGATCTCGAGTCTACCCGACAGAAGAGGTGAGCGTTTCTTCTGCAAAGGGCTACGCAAGACTGCACTTGCTTCTTGTTTATTAACAAGCAATTAGCAAAAGCACAATGCCTGGCAATCAGAAATACACTGGTTAGCGAGAGCTAACTCCCAGTGCTTGTGCAAGAAGACATCCCATTGCGGGCTGAGGGAAATTCAGTCTATGTCTTCCCGCAGATAAGCCCTACCGAAGCTCCCCTTCAGCACACTCATCCTCAGCAAGCAGATGTTTTCCATCTATAAACGTTTATGAAGGCTGCAGTCTTGTCAGGGAACACTCAGTTCCTCTCACAAGCCCCTCAAGTTACCTGCCTAAAACGTGCAGTGAGCCTTTTATGCAAGACCATCTTCTAATTATCCTCCAGTCAAAAGCATGTCTGAACTCAAGGACAAGGAGCAGAGTTAATTGCTTAATGAGCTTCTGAATAAATTACCTTCTCTGAAGAAGCTGGACAGGGCACACAAGAGGAGGTAGAAAGCATTGGCAACATGGGATCCACACAAACTCGGGGTGTTCTCTCCACTAAACCACGCGCGAGTGAGAGTGCGCCTTAGCCCAGGCGACACCACCGTTTTTCTGGATGGATGTAGTGATAAGATCGATTAAGTTGTTGACCCCCAGCAATGCAGAGCGTATACACTGCTCAGCTACACCCCAGTCCTAAAGCCCCCTTGTCGCTGCCATGTGCCCTTTCTCTTCACCGCCATGTTCATACCTACACAAAAGGCTTTTCTCGCGTACGTGTGCCAGTGACAGCGTGCTCTGTGGGGGTCATCTGCTGTAACAGGTCCAGCTCTCAGGGACAGATTTATTGGGGCATTTTGAGTAACATTTGCATAACCCATCAAGATCTGTGTGGGAGCTTTCACATCCCTTATTACTGAAGCCGAGTCACGGAGGGCTGCTCCAGCTAGCAGCAAGGGGGTTACTGCTCTGGAATCTCAGCTGATGAGTCAATGCAGGAGAATGCAATAGTCACATACTGTGTCACACTGTTTTATAACTGATGATAGCCTAAAGCCAAATTAGAAAAGAAACCAAGAGGTTCTTAAGAGAAGGGTCCGACCTGATGAGGCCACGGTATGATTGCACAATTCAATGCATCCAGAGTAAAAGGAAAATGTCACTGGCCAGAAATAACCAAAGCAAGAAGATCCCCAATGGAGAAACATACTCATCTTCGTGGATGCACCCTTACTGATGCAATAAGTGTGGGTGTGTTATCTAGCTTTCCCTAATGACCAGACTCACCGAAGGGCCTACCAAAAATACAATACAACAATCGAAGCTGGAAACGAGCAAAATTCCAAGCGCATGAGCAGCATCCCTGATCACTGTCTTCTTCCTACAGTGCTAAGGGCTGGGGCATGCAGAGCACGCCCCACTTAGGAGGCTCAAGAAAGGGAGGAGGGAGCCAGGAGACTAGAGACAAGAGCTGGAAACTGAAGCCGCCTTTCCTCTCTCTCCACCTTTATTAGAAGTTGGGTGAATTCAGACCACAGAAGACTGAACACAGAAGCCCACTATGATTGCTACTGTCAATGTGACCTGATGTTTAGAGGAGATTTTTGACCCATAAGCAGATGATCAGAATAGCTCGCATGTCACCTATGCAGCCATACAGCCTTAACTGCAGAAGAGAGAAGGGGAGTCTGTCTGTCCTTTTTAACAGCAAAACAGGGCAAGCTGGGTACTACTCGGAGGCTGGTAGAGTATGAACCCCATCTGCTCTCTCTGCCCTTGCTACCAATGCTGTCCTCTGCTAAGAATACAGCATCAGTGCACATCTGCTCCCTACCTCCACAGCTGGTCCCATTCTGAAATCTCAGCACCGCCTCATGTGGCTCCCAACCACACACCCCATATATTAGTAGTCTGGGAGGTGCATCTCCCCTCAGTGTGTCATCTCTGGGCAGGGGGAAGGGCAAAATTAATTTATGTCTGTACGAGCCCCGTACATACGTCTCCTTTTCTCTAAGGGAGTTTGCTCTCATATTTAACCTCTTCATCCTGCTGGCACTGGAGGCAGATGATGCAGTTTGTAGAGAGGTGCAGGCACTTCACTCTCCCCCTCCCCCTGGAATCTTCCTCTCACTTGTGGTCCTTGGGATTCACCCAATGTTTCTCAGAAAAAAAGAGGACCTCAAGACAAGTATGCATTTAATAAGCAGTGAGACAAATAAGCTCCAGTTATCCCAGCAGAATTACAACACCAGAGAACAATTTTCTGCATTCCTCTGAAGGCCTGAAGGAACCCAATTGCCTGCTCTCAGCCTAAATAGGTACCAGACACCAAGTGCTCCATAAGCAAACAGAGCCCCCAAAGTGCAAAAATGAAATAAGTAAAAAGCTTCACATTACATATAAACCAGCCGTTTGCACCTTGTTATTAATGGCCTTGACTATGACCTTTAAACCCTGCCTTGCTCAGAGTCATGGATCTACGAGCCTTGGCACCCTCACAACAATTCCAGGACGAGGAGCAGGGAATAAACAACCCTGGCCCACTCCGGAGGAGATGCGGGAAGGGAACTGGCCTGCGACAAACCTGTACGAGAAGCACTCCAGTGCAGCAGCCAGGGCTAAGAGGTGACCATCTCCACTATGAATTTGTCAACATAACCTCAGTGACCAGGGTT